TATGCAATTATATGAAAAAAGTCTCAACTGCAATGGTTACCACATTCGTATTAAAAAATGAAAATTTTATATTTTAATATTTTAAATAAAATATCTTAAATTTATATTTTAAATTTTTATCTTATTTATAATTATTCAATTAAAATACAAACGGTACAATACTTATTTGTTAATTATTATTACTGTAGACTTGTTGATGAAAAACATGGTTAAATGATGTTGTAATAAATAACTAATACATGGCCCCACAAGCAAAGCGTGCAGTACAAAACCCCAAATGGCAGTACAAAGCCCCTCAGCTGTTAACACCGAGAAAATCTTTACAGGGCCAAATATGTAATTTACTAACCTCTAGTTGAAGAGAAAATGGCTGTCTCCTCCATCTCCCACGGAACACCCTCTCTCCCTTCAATTTATATATTGTTTGAGACTTTCTTCTTCTGATTCAGTTTTGCTGTGAATTTTCCTTTTTTTTTTTTTTAATTAATAATGTCCCCGGGCATCAGGAACCTGCAACTGACCCCGGTCGCCGGCGGCCAGAAGAAGTCGTCGTCGTCGTCGGTTTATGTTGTAGAGGATGCCGGAGACATGGAGGATGTGGGGCTTTTGGATTCCTACGACAAGCGTGAGGATCCTTTGCCGATAATCGAAGAGGGTACCAGGAGGATTCACGTTAGAGTCACGGGAATGACCTGTGCCGCCTGCTCCAATTCTGTTGAGGGAGCTTTGAGGAGCGTTGATGGGGTATTGAGTGCATCTGTTGCTCTGTTGCAGAACATGGCTGATGTTGTTTTTGATCCGACTTTGGTTAAGGTTAGTGTTCTCTCCCCTAGGCTACTGTTTTTTCTCTCTTTTTTTTTTTACTTGGGTCTGGCTTTGTTTCTGGGTTTATTTCGTGCTTGTTGACATTATTATTTTTGGTTAATTTGCTTTTCTTAGCTATGGATTAGAAATTAGTTTGCTTATTTTTTGACAGCAACTTTAATTTGATTTAGTTTCTTTATGTCCAGAATATAATAGTTAGATAGATCATATGAAGTTGATTGATCGTTAAAATTATGGTTGACTTAAGTTCTTAGCCAAGTTTTCCTAGCATCCAAATTTTAGATGTTTGCCACTTTTTTTTTTTTTTACTAACTTTAGAACACTACCATCTATGTTTCTTTTTCTTGGTTCTGATTGAAAATCTTATTTTGTGAATTACGTTAGCCTCATTGTTTTATGAACTATATTTCTTCATGCTTGAATCAATTTATGGACAGTAATTATTAGTTTACGATTGCATGTCTACGGTGTTTACTTTGATTTAGAGTTACAATCGTGAATTGCATTTAGTTAAATAAATAGACAATAGTGTAAAGTTATGTTTTATTGCTATAATTGCATTTGGTTTCAATAATGATTTGCATTTGGTTAAATAAATGGAAACTAGTTACAATATTTCATCATGTTGTTTCACTATGTTTTTGTTTAATAAAAATTTCTTTACTATGGTAATGGGACCTTTTGCGGAACAGATGTTCTTTTAACCATGTTCTAAATTTAGGATGAGGACATCAAGAACGCAATTGAAGATGCAGGGTTTGAGGCAGAGATCCTAGCTGAATCCAGCACTATTGGAACGAAGCTGCGTGGAACTCTGGTTGGGCAATTCATAATAGGGGGCATGACATGTGCTGCCTGTGTAAACTCAGTTGAAGGTATTTTAAGAGCTCTTCCTGGTGTCAAGAGGGCAGTAGTTGCATTGGCTACTTCATTGGGTGAAGTTGAGTATGACCCTGCTCTAATTAATAAAGATGAAATAGTCAATGCAATTGAAGATGCTGGTTTTGAAGCCTCATTTGTACAGAGTAGTCAGCAGGATAAGATCATACTAGGAATTGCTGGTGTTTTTAGTGAGCTGGATGTACAGCTCTTGGAAAGCATATGTAGTGGCTTGACAGGGGTTAGACAATTTCATTTTGACCCAGCATTAGGAGAACTTGAAGTTATATTTGATCCTGAAGTTGTCCATTCAAGATTGTTAGTTGATGGAATTGAAGGAGGAAGCAATGGGAAGTTTAAACTTCATGTTAAAAACCCATATGCAAGAATGACTTCTCACGATGTTGAAGAAACCTCAAATATGTTTCAGCTTTTCACCTCTGGTTTATTTCTTACCGTAAGTACTTTTTACTTGTGGGGAAAGGGGAAGGGGATTATGCATCTATGTGGAATTTGAGTATTTAGTTATTTTCTCCATATTTAGAGTTGATATTTTACCCTCTCTTTTTTTCTTCCTTTTTTTTTTATCTGTAGTTAGTACATTGTATTTGTCCTACTCTCCTTCCCTCTGGAGCATAACTTAAGCAGCAAAATGAAAAGTCTTATTGTGATGGTTTATTTGAACCATATCGACTTAACTTGAAAGCAGAAAACATTCCAACCTTCTTTTTGCATGCTAGTAACAATAAATGAGCTATTTTTTTAGAATGTTGCTAAAAAAAACATATCAATTGTTTGCATTTGATGATCCAGATCCCTGTTTTTCTGATTCGAGTTGTTTGTCCTCACATACCTGTCGTGTATGCCTTCCTGCTCTGGAGATGTGGACCCTTCTTTTTGCGTGATTGGTTGAAGTGGGCTTTAGTAAGTGTTGTTCAGTTTGTTGTTGGGAAGCGATTCTATGTTGCAGCTGGGAGAGCTCTTCGCAATGGTTCAACTAACATGGATGTTTTGGTTGCATTGAGCACTTCATCTATTTACTTCTACTCTGTTTATGCACTTCTCTATGGTGCTATGACTGGGTTATGGTCTCCAACATACTTTGAAACAAGTGCAATGTTAATAACATTTGTATTGTTGGGAAAGTATTTGGAGTGTCTTGCCAAGGGGAAAACATCTGATGCCATCAAAAAATTAGTAGAACTTGCACCAGCAACAGCATTATTAGTCCGAGACAAAGGTATTTATTTTTTTCCCCCTTCCTTTCTCCCTTCTATAAATGTAATGTAAAAAATGAACATGATATATCTCTTATCTTATTCTTTTTGCCATAAGATCTCTGTTATTATCTCCAGTTGTCAATTATTTATGAAAGATTATCCAATGATTACCAAGTTTGTTTGATATTAATGAGGATCATATTTTATGTGAAAAATGAAATATTAGACCTATGAAGAGTTTTCTTAAATTTTCTTGGCCCATAGGTGGAAAGTGTATTGGAGAAAGGGAAATAGATTCTTTGTTAATTCAGCCTGGTGACACATTAAAAGTTGTTCCCGGTTCAAAGCTTCCTGTTGATGGTGTTGTTGTATGGGGTTCAAGTTATGTAAATGAGAGTATGGTAACTGGTGAGTCTGCACCCGTTTTGAAGGAGGTCAATTCATCAGTTATTGGAGGTACAATAAATCTACATGGTGCCCTTCACGTTCAAGCTACCAAAGTTGGATCTGATGCTGTTCTGAGTCAGATAATTAGTTTGGTTGAAACAGCACAGATGTCCAAAGCTCCTATACAGAAATTTGCTGATTTTGTAAGTTTCTTTTATTTTCTTTTCTTTTTTTTTTATAAAAAATAATTGTTTCATTTGAATCTTTGGATTTTTGCTGAATTCAGTCATCATTTGAGAAGTTGTATGAAAGCAATATATCTTTGTTGCATCAAAGAAAAGGGGGAAAAACTGTATTTCCTAAAGAAAGTGTATTTGAAAACTCAGTAAAATCTCAGTCAAGTTATTAATTACAATTGTTTAAATTGCCAATTAATGGACTGCATAATTTAGCATGTCCTATTTTATCAACAAAAATGTTGCTTCATGCGATGGTTCAATCATTTTTTAGTACTGAAGCGATATTTTTAGAGTAGCATCCCACTGGTCACAGCCTTAGGTTGGAGGAAATATTTGGTTGTCCTAAAAAGGATAAGATTCTTTGTGCTCTAAAGACTGTGAAATTATCCCTTTTTTATGCAGTGTTCTTAACTTTGGCATTCCTGTGGCTTTCAGGTTGCTAGCATTTTTGTTCCAACTGTTGTTGTTATTGCTTTATTCACATTACTGGTTTGGTAAGTCCCTCCTATGACTTATTTTCTCAAACTTTTTTTCTTAGAATTTTTTTTTTCATGTTCACTTTTTCTTTCCTGGATAAAATGTGCATTACCTTCTGCTGATGTTATATTCATTTGTTTGTCTCTTATAGGTATATTGCTGGAGTTGTAGGTGCCTACCCACAGGACTGGATACCAGAACATGGCAATTGCTTTGGTTTTGCCCTTATGTTTTCAATATCAGTGGTGGTGATTGCATGTCCCTGTGCTCTTGGTTTGGCAACTCCAACTGCTGTAATGGTTGCAACGGGGGTTGGAGCTAATAATGGTGTGTTGATAAAAGGAGGTGATGCTCTGGAGAGAGCTCAGAAAATTAAGTACGTCATATTTGATAAAACTGGAACTCTGACCCAGGGCAAGGCCAAAGTTACAACTACAAAAGTTTTCTCAGGAATGGATCGTGGAGAGTTCCTTAGATTGGTAGCTTCTGCAGAGGTGATTTCTAATAGTCTCTAACTTGTTTCAAGCACCCTTATACCTTGTCTACTTTTATCATGTTGCCCCATTTGTGGCCTTAAATAGGTGCCACAAAGGGGGCCTTTAAAGGTAAATAAAAACACAAACTAAAATGTTCCCTTACATAAGAAATTAAGAAAGAAATACTGTGCCCTGTGATTGCTTTGACATGCTCTAACTTATTTACATCTGGGTATTTGATGAGTAGAACTAGAATCTTTTTTTTTTTCCTGTACATTTTAACTTTTCATAGAATTGGGGAGGGTAACTGTTGCTTCACTTCGTAGATTATGTTAAGCAATCAATGATCTTTTATCTCTCATGGCTTAGGCTAGCAGTGAACACCCATTGGCAAAAGCAATAGTGGAGTATGCTCGCCACTTTCATTTCTTTGATGACAATTCTCTGATTGAAGATGCCCACAACAACAGAAAAGAATCCCTCCAGTCTGGATGGCTTCTTGATGTTGAAGGGTTTTCTGCTGTGCCTGGAAGAGGAGTCCAGTGCTTCGTGGATGGAAAGCGGGTATTGGTGAGTTTTTGTGCATAACTAAACCACCTATGTTTTCCGTTTTTTCAGAAACACACGATTCTTCTGGGGTTCTTACTGAAAATGTTATATATCTAACAGGTTGGCAACAGGAATCTGTTGAGTGATAGTGGGGTTACCATTCCAACCCATGTAGAAAATTTTGTAGTAGAACTGGAAGAAAGTGCAAAGACGGCCGTACTTGTAGCATATGATGACAACTTAATAGGTGTTTTGGGGGTTGCAGACCCATTAAAGAGAGAAGCTGCTGTGGTTGTAGAAGGCCTGATGAAGATGGGTGTCAGACCTGTCATGGTTACAGGAGATAATTGGAGGACAGCTAGGGCTGTTGCTAGAGAGGTTTGTGTGAATATATTTATTAATGCTGTAAGTGCATCTTTGTAGATATTACTAGTTTAACTTCTTGTTACTAACTTATGTTTCTCTTCATAGGTGGGCATTCAAGATGTAAGGGCGGAGGTAATGCCAGCTGGAAAAGCTGATGTGGTTCATTCTTTTCAGAAAGATGGAAGCACTGTTGCTATGGTGGGGGACGGAATAAATGATTCTCCCGCTCTAGCTGCGGCTGATGTTGGTATGGCAATCGGGGCAGGGACAGATGTTGCCATAGAAGCTGCAGATTATGTGTTGATGAGGAATAACTTGGAAGATGTTATCACAGCCATCGATCTCTCAAGGAAAACCTTTTCTCGTATACGATTGAATTACATTTTCGCCATGGCCTACAATGTTATTGCAATTCCTGTTGCTGCTGGGGTTTTCTTTCCTTCACTAGGGATAGAGTTGCCACCATGGGCGGCAGGTGCCTGTATGGCTCTCTCTTCTGTAAGTGTTGTGTGCTCTTCTTTGCTTCTCAAGAGATATAAAAAACCCAGACTCACCACTATACTAGAAATAACTATAGAGTAGGAAGAGAAAATTCAAGCAAATTACTTCAGGTTCCTGTTTCATAAGAAGGAAATTGAAGGGTGCAGGCAAATCTTGAATATCCCAAATTTTGTGTATTTGTTTCTAGTGTAAATGCTACTTGTATGATATGAAATCGCTCCCTCTGTTTGTGTCTCCCTTTTTCTTTTTGTGGACACCTTTTGAAACTTCCTTCCCAGTGACGGATTCAGGGTATCAAACCTTTCAAAAAGGATAGAGCTCCTAAAGCTTCCTCTTTGACCATTGTTGGATGAATAATTGAAAATAAGAAAAATAAGGCAATCATGGTTTTGACCCTCAATTGTTCTTTTTCTTCGCCAAGGGAACCTTATTGTATGAACAGAAAATAAGAAGAAATACTTTTGACAAGTTCAATGGTTATATTGTATTTATATACATTAAAAATTAGCATTTATACTTTTTCTTTTTGGATAATATAAATGTCTAAATTTTAAGTACTTATTTCTTTATTTATAAATATTAAAAAAAATTCTATTTTCAAGAGTAACAAAGGTAATTCATTAAAATTATTTATACTCAAATAAAAATTATAAAAAAAATTTAAATCTATATTCTCAAACAAAGTTTGAATTCATTTTTACCTTGTTTTTATTATTACACAATTTCATTTCTATTCCAAGCACGAGGAAGTTTTTCCTCCGATCTTTTTTGAAAAGGCAGGAACTTTTCTTCATTTAGATTCGCTTTAGATTTTTACAGAAAGTGTGACATCAACCTCTAGCTAAATATTGAAGAGTTATCAACTTTTCCAACATTTTTTTCCAAGAAAAAAAAAAAAAAATCCCTCCCCCCAACCAAACACAACCTTGGTTTCTTCCAATGGTATTGTCCTTTCCCACTGGACAATATCATTAAATTAGATGTTGAGCTTCGAAGTTATCCTTTGACCAAACTATTCCTACTTCCCCCGTTTTTTTCCCTCTATCGGCTTTTTCAAAATGAAAACATCACCATCCTGGACACCGCCACCAGCTCCCACCTGCTTCATCGTCAACGCTCAACAAAACATTAAAAATATTGTCCCTTTCACGTTGCAAGTTAAAGAAAACTATTGGGAAAGGTATCAAAGTATATTTTTGCTTCAAATTTCATTGCATATGAAGGGAGAAGTAATCCCTTCTTCCAATGAACTTGCTAACAAGCAAAGCAAAATCTACACCGCTAATAATCCAAGTTTCTTAGGCACTAGATTTTTACATTTAATATGCCCTCTTGTTTTGCATAAAATAAAATTGATATAAATTAAAACTAAATTTTGACATTTATCTTAAAATCAGTTGACTGTATTTATTAAATTTGAATTTACAAATTTTCTTAACAAGTGTGCTACTTTCCCATGTGACAAACACCAATTAATGTAACCACCAAGGAAGGATCTATCAAGTTCACATTAATCCTTAAAGGGGAGTTTGTTTAGAGTGCAACTTTATCTCTCAAATTTTTTTTAAAAATTTTTTCTTTTATAAGGTTATTTATGTATTTTCATATATTAATACTATAATAAAAGAATGGTAAAAATGGTATTTTGAACATTTAGTTTTCCTAATATAATTTTCAATTCATAAAATTTTTTCTCATTTATTTAAAAAAAAATTCTATAATTTTTTTATATTAAATTCACTTAATAGCTTTTCTAACAACTTTTCTAATAATTTTTCCTACTAACTTTCCATATATCATTTTTTTTTCAAATATAATTAAGTTAATAGCGCAACAAAATTTTATTACAAAATTTAACAATTTTCTAAACAATACTTTTCTAATCATTTTTTCAATAAAAATTTTTCTAATAAAATAATTCTCTAACTAAACATGCCCCTTAATGTGCCATTTGGTTAACATCTAAACCATTTATAATGTGAAAAAGTAAGAGTCTAGAAGAAAGTATAGTGGTATACTTTCCTCGCTAATTCAGCCATGTCACCTTATCATAACAATTACTAGTCAAAGATATTAATGGTCCAGTGTTGCTGATTGTTATCCTAAACCTCTTGAAGAGGAAATCTGCATCAACAAAGAGGGAAGCAGTCCCTTTTGGACCATCCTATTAGTGAAGACCTAAGAGTTCAAGTTGAAATTTTAAAACGTGTGAAAAGAAATTTGAAAAGGAAAAGGCTCGTTCTTATTTTACACCCTATTATCTAAGGTACCAAACATAGAGAGAGAAGACTAGACAGATATACATTAACTTCCTTGTTGTTTTTCGGCAAAAAATTTTGACCAAGACCCAGACATAGCTTACCAACTCAGGAGTCTTAAAGGAAGAAGGCGGCCAGTGATTCATAAATTATCCTCCTTTGGTATCCACACTTGATGTTTCCTGGAAACAACCCTCCTTTGGCCATAAGTCTTTCTTGTCTCTCAAATCAGGGAATAGTCAAGAGCATGCATGTGCTTGTTTTCTTTGACCATAGAATTGCCTCTATATATACACATTCCGGTAAACTTTGTTCCTTTTCATCTTATGAGAACACTTGAAGCAGAGGAGCCATGAGCACCACCAGTACCATAACAGGATGTGCCGAATGGAAGCAGTTTTATGAACAGGGGGCTTTTGATGGCGTGGGCGCAGCTTCATTCCCTGACGCCACCAGGGTCACTGCAAGTCTCATGACTTCCGATGGCAACCTCAGCCCTGGCAGTTCATCTCCGGTGAACTCGAAAAGGAGGAGATCCAGGGCTTCCAAGAGGGCACCGACCACCCTCCTGAATGCCGACACTAGCAATTTCCGAGCCCTGGTGCATCAATTCACAGGTTGTCCTAGCAGACCCCTGTCCCAGAGAGGCCCAGTTAACTTGAATTTTGCTGTGGGGAATGAAGAACGTATTCAGACTAATGTTTCTTCTGCTTCCACAATGCCAATATTTGGTACCAACTACTACTTTCAACACCCTAACCAGCCACAGCCCCCGCAACAGCAACAGCATCATATGTTTCAGAATCAACAAAATGATGTCCCTTATCACGGTACAAATACAGATATTCCAAATGGGTTTGATGCTTTTGATGCTGTTTCTGTGCAAGACTTTCGTGCGTACCCTTATTCCAGTGGGCACAGGAATGATGGTTACTTCTCGTAAGGATTACCAATGCTCTTTTTGTTCTTTATCATCTAAAATTTAGGAATTAGAACTTAGAAGTGAATGTCCTACCACCTGTAAGTCTTATTCTATGTAATTTTACAAAGTTCATTCAATCAAGAGATATCATGACACAATGAAACAAATTAATAAAATTTTTATATAATATTGATATATATTTATTATATAACGAGTCAATAACAATTTAATATATTATTAAAATTTAGATATATATCAAATTATATGGATATAGGTGATACAAAAATTGATCTACTCAGTTATTTTCTTTAATATAAGGATCCCCTTAATCATTCTTTTGTTTACTTACACAAACATTCATTTGATATGACATGGCACATTAGACTTCATACCTCTTTCATGGGTAGGTGGCGCCATCTAATATTAGGCTAGGCTAAATTTTTGCTAGGCCCAGTGTTATTGGGCTTACATATTACACGCAGTGACAGACAAGGAATTTCCTGGCCTGACCCAAAGGTGAAGCCTAACCTCTCAAAAATAATGACAAGCCCGGCCCACCAAACAAGCTATGTCCTCACTCCTGAGTTCACCCAGTTTCAAACCATCCCTCTTCTTCTTCCTAAAACCCCTAAAACATAAGCTAGGGTTTTAGGCTTAGCTTCTTCACAGTTCTTCCTGGATGCGAAATATGAACTCCATTGCTCGATCTCTCGTGAGAACTGCAACTTCACAATCGGCAGAACCTAGGAAGTGGGTGATTTTGCGATTGTACTCTTCTTCTACCACCACTAAGCAATGGGTCAGATACGGCAAGAAGTCTTCCGCCTCAAAATCCACACGATCAAAGCCACCGCCGACGCCGCCTGAGCCAGACCCAGAGCCGCAGCCTCTGCCACCGCTTGCTCCATCAAAAGAGTGGCCTAAGCCTACCACGATACCTTATCAGGCCAAGGCGGCCAACTCTTTGAGTGTGATTGGTTATGTTGATTCACCTGTTCAGTTCGAGACTGCTGCTGATGGGAAGTTCTGGGCTGGAACTGTACTCACCCAAAAGGGTTCTTCTGGTTGTCACCCTTTTTGGTAGCCACACACCTATTTACTTGTCTTGTTTCGTTTTCATTTAAGGCGAATGGATTTTGTTTGTTCATACTGTTTTCTTGAATCATGATTAACCAGTCGTGGGATCATGGAAAATTTGTCTTCTGTTTTTATTGTCTATATCTTATTTCTTGGTTATTTAAGTTATGTAATGAATCTATTTCAGGATGCCAATAATATTTGAAGGTGATTTGGCTCATGTGGCTGCTTGCCATCTTAAAGAAAATGATCTTGTATGCATAGATGGACAAGTGACTTCGGATCCACCTCCTGTTGACGCAACTCCTGGTACAGCCAATATCCAGGTAAATTGCAAAATATATGGTGGCCTAAGTGGATTGATATTTGGATGATTGAGTCCTAGAGTACCTGACTACCTTTATATTACCTTATGTTAATAGTAGAAAACTTGAGCTTCCCTGATGGGATTCTGCTGTGTAGTATTTTTAAGCTTGTCTCACATGGTTCTATTTCATATAATTCATATAAGAAAATGAGGCAAATATGAGTTTTGATAGTTAGTTTCTGCAAACTGATGTCATAAATTATAATGCTGGATTAGTCTAATATTCAGATTTGATAATGGTAGGTTATGGTGAGCAGTGTCAATTTTGTTGAGGATTCTTTCTTAAGTAAGAAAAGTGTTGCATCTCTTGAACAAGGAGGCAAGTTCAATAGTTCTGGTAAGTCTCTTTTGTGTTTTTTTATTAATGTTTAATTTTCATGTAATAATGGTTTGAAGATCTTTAGTTTGTTTATAAATTTCATGCTTTTAGTTGTCCTGTGTGAAACTAAACAAAAAAGGCTAAAATTTTTGTAAATTTATGTAATCATCTGAATATGGAACAGAAAAAAATGCTCATGGATAGCAGTGTCAGCAGCATATGAATTAAGAGAGGCCAATTAGTATCTGCATTATATATATGTATCAGCATTCAGCAAAGACAGCCCTTTTTTATTTTTTTATTTAGAAGGTGCTCCCATACTCCCATGGCATGCAATGGTAGCAAAAGTATTTTCACTAATAATTTTCTGATTTGTGCTCACTAAGAGGATCTTTCAGCTAGCACAAAAAGTGGTGAGGATAGTGCATCTATTCCCTGGAGACAACTTCTTGATCATCCAGAAGAGTGGCATGATTACCGTAAACATAAACTCAGTGGATCTGTAATGACCTCCTTCTCCATTATGGATTTTTTAAAAATTTTTTATATTTTAATGTTATTTATTTTGAAACTGATTATGGCTTGTTATATATTTACAGGTAAAACCAAAGTTTCCTGATTTTAAACGTAAGGATGGTGGTCTTGCACTATGGCTTGCCAGTGCCCCACGGTGGGTTGTATCAGAACTTGAAGGAGTAGAATTTGATGATCCTATTCAAAAACCAAAACATAGAGGTATGATGCTTAACTTTACTGGCATTGGTATTACAGTGATGGCATACCAATTTGATGTGGGATCTGACTATATCTTTATATTTTGATTTGTATCTTGCTACATAATTACAATTCAATTCTGTACTAGTTCTTAATTATTGAAGGTGAGAGAGATAGTGAGATGGTTCATTCTATGGTATTGTACTTATTGTTACCATTATGCTACTTTTGGATATAAACAAAAGTACCATTATGTAAGATTTTCTCGCATCCTTGGATCCTTTAACTCGAAGAGGGAGAAAAGACAAGGAAAATAAGGAATGCAAAAGTTTATATTGGAATGGAGTGTTATTTTGTTTATGATTTCCAATATATGATATGGTCTACTTATGCTTAAATATATACATAGTTTCAATCGATATGGGGGATGATCCCTGGAGGGACTTGATGGAGAATCCAGATAAGTGGTGGGACAATAGATTGGATAAGGTATGGTCTCAGATACTATTTTTCCATTAAACATTTCTTATCACTTCTGACCATTCTCCAAATTTATGCCGCTTTTCATTTCCAGAAAAACCTCAAAGCTCCAGATTTTAAGCACAAAGAAACTGGCGAAGCTCTATGGCTCAATAGTTCACCAGCTTGGGTGCAATCCAAGTTGCGTTCTCCGGTCGGTGGAAAGTGAACAGCTGCTACTAAGACAGAAACACTGGTTTCTTAGTTGTGGAAGGACTGGACTTGATTTGATGGAAGTAATCAAGATGGGTAGTACCTTGTTTGCTTCAATATATCTGTTTTTAAGTTGACCAAGCATCACCGGTTTAACGTAAATATGTGATTATGTGATGCTACTGATTTAATCTCTTTACCTTAATGTGAAAGGTGATCACACTCATTTCAAGGTGAAGCATGTTTTTGCAAGTACGGTCATCAAATTTTTATTTGCAAAAAAAAAAAGGGGAAAAATGATATGGAATGCATGCTGAATATATGTGGTAGGATTCATTTAAGGAAAAAAGTATAAGTGCACAACATTAACAATTGAATGGGGAGTTGGGGACTTAATGACTTATTTTACAATCTTGATACATTTCGGTTGCAAAATGGATCCCTCCTCACTAGAACATAGGACTATTATATGGACCAATGGAAGTTTGAAGTCAACTTGGACGTTTAAAAGTGAGACTAGCTGACATGCCTTAGTTGTCCTGTTATTCGAACTGGGCTTTTAAGTCCAATAGTTCGACTCCAAGCCTTAAGTGCTTGGATGAGGTGGTCGGAGTTTCGAGTTTTACCACCGTCATGAATTTTACCAAAAGGCGGTTTGATGACCGCGCGCCTCATTTGAGAGGGTGGAATGTTCACCCGGCTCGAATCCTCAGTTGTTAACAACTAATTCATACTAACTTCTTAATCATTTACTCTTGTCAAAAAAAGATAAAAAGAAAAAAAGAAGTTGTCCTGTTATTCTCTTCTTCTTTTGGGCTTCTAGTCCAGACAACTGCATCAAAGTTCAAACTAGTCTATGCTCTATATTCTTTAAGTCTGATTTTGTAGACCACAATGGGCCTCTATCAAGGTGGGCTTATTTTTCACATTAAAAGTTATTCCGAAATGGGCCAACAAGTCCAAGCTGCTTGCCTCCAATCACGACTTGTGACCAAACACGTCCTATTTTATACCTTTATCCTCGAAGTCAAGTAAGGTAAAAGCAAGATATCAAATCCAAATTATAGAACAGAAGGCTTGAACCACAAAGGCAGGCAATACAATAAGATCAAGAGAGGAAGACTGCATTTACTGCATATGTTCACTGGTAAGGGTTTGTTTGTTTGTTTTTTTTTTTTTTTGACACATATAATAATGATGAATTATATAAAAATGGATAGTTCTTCTCTTTCTCTGAATCCCTCCTCACTCGACCATATGGTAGTTGGAGGGTGGAAGATTAATAATTGGGGGAATTTGGCCATCGAGCACTGTAAATAGCAACGGCACTCAACCAACCATAATGATGCAAGGAAATGCATCTCACCTGTTATGCATGGTGGATACAACAGATAGTAGGTGTAAGATATTGGAGCTTCGTTGGAATGATACTACATACTCACTCTTGATTTGATTTAGTTATCTCATTTTATCATTTATAATTACTAAGAAACTCATTTATTACAATAATTTAAGATTATCTTTTTATTCTCATCCTTACTCATAATTAAACCAAAAAACCATAATGCATTTTTATTTCATCCCAAATAAGGGTAAAATTAAAATATTACTATTTAATATCTTTTTAAAATATGAAGTAGAACAATAAGTTTAGACCACTTTTATTTAGTAAGTGGAACAACTAAAACAAACTGAATACAGAGGTCACCTCCAAAACCCCACACCTTGTGGTGAAATGTCCTTAACAACATATAAGTGACCACTTGGGCCACTTAAGACTTCTCACATCCTCTTTTCACAGGATAGGAATTGCAGCCAAGCATTTCATTAAGGACAATGGATAATGATTATAGCATACAGTGAACTTAGCACGCCACAGAATTCTTAACTTCAAGTTTAGTGCCGTAAATTATAACAGTAAATCATCCCAAGCATTAACTGATAAAAAAAAAAAAAACTCATCCTAAGCATTTCTGAATAACAGTAGAAGAGGAGATCATATGACAGGGATGCCATAGGATCTACAAGTTGATGATTTTATGTCAGTTAAAAATAGACAATAATAATAAAAGATGAGCAGTTTATGGGCTTAAATTCATAAAAAGGAGTCCTTAAGATGGAGCAGAAATAGTATTGAATAAATGAGTTTTATGAGTATCAAGGTGTTTTCCCACTCTAATAAACCTCCCGAGTCGACCCTACTCTAAGTTTGATTGACTATGGAAATGGACATGCAGCGGACAATGGCAAAATCAACCTATGTTTTGGATATGCATCCTTCTATTTTCCACTGTGAAAAATAGACCATTCATCAGAAATTATTAAACAACACTATAAAGCACAAATCAAAACTCTAGTGCACCAGAAATTAATGAAAGAAAAACCCAAAAAAGGTAATGAAAGAAACCTCAATTAGCAACAAGTTTCTCAAGTTCTTAGGAGTATTACTAAAAACTATGCAAGAATTGGTTCAATTACATAACCCAATCACAAGCAAGATGTTGAGAACTTGCATTCCCTAGCAACTTTTTCTCAAAATTACGTGTAAAGGGTCATTTTGAACCATTCCAGGCTATTTCCATAATGAATATATTCTCATAAGTCATACCCATGAAACAACAAAAGAAAATGAGATAAAAAAAATTCCTAACTTTTGACAAAAGAATTACTAAAAAGTGATGGTAACATCATTCATATGATTTCCCTAAGAAGTATCAAGTCAGGATTAGAATACAACAGAAGGGAAGCCCAGATCTCCCAAAAATTAAAGCTAAATTGCATTTATAGCCCATTAGGATATGGGTATTAAGTATAGATACAAGCATGACCAATATCAGAAAGACACCGAATCCCAGAAACCCACAACACATTACCTGTTCAAAAAAAGGCATTTCACTGCAAATGCTGCTGGATTTCATGTTTTGGTGTCTTTAATGTTTCTTGCACACCTTGTAATCACCTCACAACCCCTGTTGTAAGGATTTGCTTGACCAGCATTGCAGTCATAGTAGGAAGCACCCGGCTTTGCACATGGAACAATGTCCCTCCTCAAAGTCTCATAGCTGATGTACCTCTTCTGCATCACCAGAACTCTCCTGCTACTCTCTGACTCCATCTCTGCTTCTGCTAAACAATCTTCAACCTTTGTGGTACAAACCCTTCTTACCATGACATCCATTTCCCCGTTTTGCACTGAATTCAGGCCTAAAACTGAGACCCCATCACAGATGGAGAAATGGGTATGGAGGACAAGGAGTATTATGTGGAGAGCAGTCATGGGAAGGAGCTTGGGCATGGACATTTCTCTGAGGCGTTTGGAGTTTTTCTGGTTCTGATTGGGTTCTAATGGACTGAAAGTGAGATTTTGGGATGTTGTGTTTTTACTGATGGGAGATCTTTGGGAGTTTCTACTACTGGCCATACATGGGGACAAAAAGTTGAAGTTGAAGTTGGAAAAAAATAGATACAGGAGGATGTATTTACATAATCCGCCCCAACACTATGGTACTTAAGTCTTCAACATTAATGTTCCTATGGATAATTTTGTAAATTTCATGTCAACATTTTTACTTTGATACAAAATCAGAGACAGCTGTTTGGAGTCCAGCTGCTATGGGTATGGTTATTCTCACAATGCATTTTGTTAAGCCACACAAGTAGTTTAATAATTATGTTTGTTTTCATTTTTTATTATTTTGAATATTTTAATTATAAAACCGAATTCGAACGATTATCTTTGAAAAAGAATATGAACCTTATAAGAGTGGTTAAAGTGACTTGACCTACAAGGTTGAGTTCTGTTTGCTTTTAATTAATTTATAATTTTATAATTAATTATAATATTTAAAATTAAACCTTTAAATCCATTAATTCGTTACTAAACTTTAATACTTAAATTTAATTAATCATAAAATTCGATTTCCATTAACTATTTAAAAAAGTCACATTTTCCCCTCCCCATAATTCTCCATCTTCAAAATATATATTTAAAAGTATTAATTTATAAATTAAATTTAATATATTAATAATAAATATTAATTATTATATTAATTTATTAACTATTTTAAACAGTGAATAATATTTTATATGTCGTCAAATAGAAGTTCGCGTGGCAGT